TATATATGTATATAATTTTAACAATGTTTAAGTGTATATTTCAAGGACAGGTATACTTGTATCTCTGTGTAATCATCATCCCTAAATATCCATGTACATCTTTTCCTTATTCCAGCTTGGAACGTTGCCATGGAATCTGAGCCTAACATGCTGGCCCCCGTGTGTCTGATAGAAAATGTGAATGAGGAGCTGTCAGTGAACCAGGAAGCTCGACAGATTCTTGACCAGATTTCTAACCCAGTGGTGGTGGTGGCCATCCTGGGCCTGTACCGCACTGGAAAATCCTACCTGATGAACCGCCTGGCAGGACAGAACAGCGGTGAGCACCGGCCGTGATCAGGGCCAGTTGTTGATACCTGCGACATCTCAGCTTCTTAATTACTGTTCTCAGGCACGTGAAGGTAGAACCCAATGCTTCTCAGTGAAGCAACTGCCTCCTTTTAATTTGCGCCACCAAAGTAATACTTTGCTGTCATTCGTTCCCATAATCTAAAGACAATATAGTCTTATAAAGCTCATTATTCCAAACTGCTGTGCTTTTTCCCTTATAAAGCACATTCTGACTTTTTTACAAAATAGTCTTATCTATGTTTAAGTATTTTAATTAAATATTTAATATTAAATATTTACCACTGTGAGATGCTTCTGGGCCAGTGAGATAGCTTACTGGACTAAGCACATGCTTAGGCAAGTGCAGGGTCTGAGGTGACCGATCTCTGGCACCACATATCACACCAGCACTGCCCCCAGGGCATGCTGAGCCAGCAAATGCATTGGGGCTGATGGTGCATGCCTGTAATCCCAGCGATAGGGAGGCTGAAAACAGGAGGATCCCCCAGAGTCTGAGCTTGCCATGAGACTCTGTAACAAACACATAAAAAAGATGCTTCTTAAACTCCCCACCCATGTGACTCCCAGCTTCTGTTTTGCCCTTCTTATTTTTGCTTCTTAGTGTATTTTCAATATAAAATATATTCCAGATTCTTCCTTTGGCTTCCATGTTCTTCTAACATCTCTCTTCATTTTGCTCCTCTCTAACTGAACCACAACTTTCTTTAGCAATGCTATTGTTGTAATCATTAGAGGTCTGTGTTTTTCAGATTCCTGGATGTCTTCTGTCATCACCTTGAGTCCTTTATTATCATCATTTTTATATTTAATATCCCCAGGCCTTTAAAACATAACTTACAAAAAATAAAACATAACTTAGGAAAATAGAAAAGGCATTGTTTTTGTTTTGCTTTTCTTTTTTTTTTTTTTTTTCTTGCTGGAGTATTCATAATCCAACAAAGCTTGACATTTTCCCTCTGCTACTTGGAGGAGCTGTGCCCACTATTTGCTATTTCTCCCCTTCCCTGCAGGTTTCCCTCTGGGCTCCACCGTGCAATCTAAAACCAAGGGCATCTGGATGTGGTGTGTGCCCCACCCCACCAAGCCGGACTGCACCCTGGTCCTTCTGGACACCGAGGGCTTGGGAGACGTGGAGAAGGTGAGGCAGAGATTCTGAGACAGATCCTTTCTATTTGGTCTGTGTGCTTTCTCTTCAAGACCCTCTGTGACTTGACTGCTGTACTCTGTTTATGAAGTATAAGAAAGCAAACCACAGTGTCTGAGGCAAATTTTGTTCTCCTAGTTCTTTATCAGATCAGGTACCATGGTACTTTAAGTAAAATGCTCATTCCTTGACCCTGATGTGAATAGCATCATTCACTATAAGGAAAACATTGAAAACTAAGTTCTAGCTTATGGGTTTAGTACAGTACAGATATAAATGAACAGATATAAAGCATGGCTACCATAGTCTTCAGTCCCATTGTGAAGATCATGAGGTGAAAAGCAATGAAGTAGGTTGAAGAGAGAAAGACAGTGCACTGTACAGTCCCTGGCTTCTTCCGTTTGCAGGGGGCATCCATTGGAACATGTTTTTGGAGATACCCTCTGTTGGGAGAAGGGTGCTCTTGAGGATCAATACGTGCTATGTGGCCCTGGAAAGTCATTTCATAAGAAGGCTCATACCTGTGGGATGTTTTCCATCAACACTGCCCAAGGCGAGCAATCAATTTTTCAGCTGTACAGGGCCCTGCATGCTGCCATCACTCTTTCACCACATACAGTTAGGCATTTGGTACGTGGAGTGGAAGGGGCTGA